GGTTTTGCCATGTTGGCAAGGCTGGTCTCTAACTCCGGATCTCAAGTGATGATCTGTTCGACTCGGCCTCCCAAAGTGCTGGAATTATAGGCACTGGCTGGTCTCAGTAATCTTGTGTGTTTGTGTTCTCGGCATTTTCCAGTTGCAAATGAGTCTGGAAAAAAAGGAGAAGAAGAAAAAGAAGGAGAAGAAAAAGAAGCACAAGAAACATAAGCACAGAAGCTCGAGTAGTGATCGTTCCAGCAGTGAGGATGAGCACAGTGCAGGGAGGTGAGCATGTGGCGACTGGCCTCCCTTCTCGTTGATTCACTTGCTCATTCACTCATTCATTCCACAGACATGAACACCTCCCCTGTGCTGGGAGCTGCCAGGTACTGGGCATTCAGTAATGAATACTTGAACATGGGCCCTATGCCCACAGAGCTTGCCATCTAATGCTAGAGTGCCTTGGAGACGCTAAATGTGAGTGGGTATCTCGGCCATGCTGCTGGAGAGAGACCCTTAATGGAGCTGACTTTAGCCTAGTAGGTCTTAGGTAGGTCAGACATCCTGGGGGTGACTGTTTCATCTCAGCTTAGGATTCCTTCAAGACTGAAGTGGGCTTTATATATGCTTTTTTTAATGGACGGTGGCCCATGTGGTCCCATTCTGCGTGTCTTCCCGTGGGAGCAGTCAGCTCCGCCGCTGCTGAGTCACTATTCATCCCCGGAATAGCAGCATGAAGTGAGAGGAGAATGTGTTCAGGCGTTGGGGCTTAGAAGCGAGGCCCACAGTTTTTCACAGGAAAATTTGACTGTGCTGATGCATCTTTCGGCATAGACAGTTCAAATAGAGAAACGTACTGCCAGGTAACAGCTGGGAGGCGGAAAGGTCACATTGGAAGCAAGAAGCATGGTTCAGCATAAGATACTTAAATTGGACCTATATGTATTTTCTTTTTCAATGACTGTGTATTTTCATCTCTTAGATCTCAGAAGAGGATGGCAAATTCCTCCCCTGTTTTGTCCAAAGTCCCTGGATATGGCTTACAGGTAGGGGATGTGGGCTCCTTGAAAGGAGTGACTATAGGGCTGTGGGATATGCCACTTGGACAATGTGGATAGCAGGGAGGTGGGCAGTGAAGCCTGGGCTGCTGGGAAACAGGTCCCTTCTTATCCCTGAGCATCTTCTTGTGGCTGACGACCCTCTGAGCAGAGAGACTAAACCACCAATGGGGCATTGAGGCATTCTACCCATCCCTCTACAAATAATTTACATGAAATGCACATATTTTAAGTGTATAGGTGGTTTTTTTTTTTTTTTAGACAGAGTCTCGCTTGTCACTCAGGCTGGAGTACAGTGGCGTGATCTCAGCTCACTGCAACCTCTGCCTCCTGGGTTCAAGCTATTCTCCTGCCTTAGCCTCCCAAGTAGCTGGGATTACAGA